GATCTCCCCCAGCTCCCGGTAACCACTAATCTGTGTCTGTCTCTGAAGATTTGCCTGTCTGGACATTTCCTCCACACAGAGTCAGACAACGCGTGGTCTTTTGTGTCTGGCTTCTTGCAGTCAGCCACGTTAGAGGAACAGCCAGACACTAAGGGCGCGAACCTGACATCTCCATGTGTGTGGCAGATTCACAGAGAGAGGCCGATGAGGGGGCTGGGGTGGCAGTGACTTGGGGTATCCTTTGGGGTAATGAAAACCTCCCAGGGCTCCCCATAACACCTGGATGTCCTACAGGCCTCTGAACTGTGCATTTCTGAGCCGTTCCTGCCTGATTGTACTTCAGTTGGTGGAGGAACCCAGGGGCCTCCCGTGGCTCAGGGCGAGTGTGACAATGCCCTGTGGTCACGGTTGTTTGCTCTGGGAGCGTTCCCTGCCATCTGACAGTCAGTGCTCCTCCAGAGCACCGGTTTTCCTGCCAATGGGATGGTACCCGGGGAGCCCACTGTGCAGCGCGGTCCCTTGGGCATGACTCAGGACCCTCCCTATGTGGGGGGGAGACCGTTGCTGCCATGGTCTGTGCTGCTCGTTGTCAGGGCTACAAATGCCCTTCACCCTCCATTTTCAACCCCATTCCCAGTAGGGCCAGACCTCTGCCCCTCCTCACCACAGGCTCAGAGGGGCCGACGGAGGGACTTTCCAGCTGGGTTTCTCCTCCCGGGGTCCAAGCCTCTTCCATGGCCTCCCCTCCCCCTCACTGAGATCCTGCCTTGCGTCAGCCGGAGACTCGTCCTGGGGGCTGTGGACGTCACGATTCATGCTCATCTTCAGAGAAATCCCCATGGAAACCAGCAGACAGGTTTGGACGAGAGCAGCCGCTTCCCTAGAAAGGCAAAGTAGAAATAGAAAGGCTGAGGCCTGGAGCCATGTGGGAGCTGGGTGTGTTGGCCATTCCAGCCTCTGCAGCTGGTAGGAGGACCTTGAAGGTCCCCCAGATTGACCCCCAGGGGTCCTCAACAAGGCCTGTCTAGCCCATCTTTGCCGACTCTAGTCCAGGCCGTCACCGCGTTCTAGGCCAAGAGCTCACCGCAGAGCCAAGGAAGGGGATAGCGGCTGGCCAGTCTTGCAAACACAAGATCCTGCACCCTCCGCCCCAGAGCAGAGGGGCAGAGACACAGCTCACTGACCTGTCCCCAGCTCCCGTGGGAGGGCAGCATCCCCAGGACCCCAGGGGGTGACCCCTGCACCTTGCACAGGATGCTTACATGAACCAAACCTGCCTGGTTAGACCGTGGCCAGGCCACCAGCAGCACTCAGCAGAGCCGGTGGCCAAGGACAGCGGCCCCTTAGCCCGGGCCAGGGCTCCCAGCCTCTCCTTAATAAGTCTCTAATGAGGGTAATTTGGCAATGGCGTAAAATATGCTCTTACCCTTTGTCCCAGTAATTCCACTTCTGGGAATCCGGCCTAAAGAAATAATCCTAAATATAGGGTAGAAAAACATGTCTCACAGGGTGTCCGCTAGAATTGTTTAGAGTTCCCAAAGCGAAACAACAGCCCCGGGGGAGATACCCCCCACCCCGGGGGGGGGGGACAGAATATGTTGCAGCCACTAGGACCAGATGGTTCCAAGGTGACCGCTCCTGAGCCGGTGCCTGTATGGGATGCGGTGGGCTGAGGCGTTGTAGAATTACACGGTTTGGGTTCTGTTTAAATCGTGTGCGCCTTTGACGGGGAACGGGGTGCACTGGCGTGCTCCTGGGTGGTCCTCGTGTGGTTTCGTGAAAGGTCAGCTGTTGCTCGCCTTCCCGTGTGCCGCGTTCACGCCTTGTCTTTCTTTTGGCCAGGCTTGGGTTGTGAGTGGCCTGCAGTGAATTCACCCCTTCTCCTGGGTGGGAGGCAGTCAGCAGCAGCTACTGAAGCGGGCAGCTCCTCCACCTTGGCATCTGCCCACCCAGCCCAGCTCCTGGGCAGCTGTGCGCGTCTGATCCTGTCCCTAGAGTTTTGTTGATTCTAGGATATCAGTGGAACTAGGTGAGCTTGCGTTCAGGAAACTTGAGGCGCCATGCTCCAGGCCTTCCCTGTGGGCCTGCCTGTTTCCCTGTGGGTGCAGCACGTGCGCTCTTGCTCTTGCTCTTGCTCTCTCTCTCTCTCTCTCTCTCTCTCTCTCCTTTCTGTGTCTTTCTCTTTCTCTCTTGCCCTCCCTCCCTGTTCCTTCCCTCCCTTCCTCCTCCCTCTTTTCTTTTTTTAGAAGGTAGCAAGGAATGACTTAGCACGGTAAAACTACACCTTGAGGTGTGAGGTGGGCAGTTTTCAGAGGCCGGCTTCCTGTGGTTGTCAGAGCTTGGTATTTGGCCTGTAGGGTGGGGTGGGGTGACTCAGGTGGTGTGGCGTTGAGGTCCCAGGCCCTCTGGTGTGCTAGCACGGGGGCTGCGTGTGGGAAGGCACACACCTGTGCGATCCAGAAGGCCAGGCCGGGTGCCAGCAGGTTGGATGCTTTGTCTCCTCTCCCCCCCCCCCAACTTGAAGGCCTTCCGTGGAGGGTGACAATGGTCTTTACGCCCTGGGCGGCCCAGCCTTGATCAGGGAGAGCACCAGTCAGCTCAGTCATTGGCTCAGGGTGTCACCCCGTCCTTTCCTCATTCCTGCTCACCTCTCCCTGCAGGCCTGCCTGCCCTAAGCTGGAGTTCTGTGGGCGCGGCCTGGCCTGGCCACTTCCTGCTGATGGGGTCCTAGGGTTCTTGGGGACAAGAGTCCTGGGAAGCTGTGGCGGCTGGACAGTGCTGGCGTTAAGAAGGTACCTTTCTGTTGTGGACTAGCGGGACCAGTGTTGTCATGAAATGGCCATGGCCAAAGCGTCCTGCAACCCCGAGGTGACACTTGTAATCAGGTCCCAGTGAGCCCAGGCAGGAGTCAGAGCAGAGGACCCGGGATCTGTGTGATCCAGCAGTCTGGGTCAAAGGTGAGGTCTGCCCCGACTGGCCTCTCAGGACTGGCCAGGCGTGGCCTTGTTGCACACCAGGTGCCTCACAGGAGGCATTCCCGTCCTCCGGCTCGAGGAGGTGAATGGCTCAGAGCAAAGAAGACGAGAGGAAGATGAGTCAAGAATGCAGAGTTCCCATCTGCTGCAGTTCCCTGGCGGGCGCAAGTCGGGAGTCAGAACTTGGAGGCAGAAGCAATGTCTGAGGGCTTGTTCAAACTCCTCCCTCGGGGTTGACTGCTTCTCAGTCTTAAAGGATTAAGATGTTGGCAGTCTGACTTGGTATGTTCCCTGGCCAGGAGTAAGCTAGCACTCAGGAAGGGATACATGGGAGTAGCTGAAGTGTATGAGTCAAAAGAACCTAAAGCTAAAAAGCCTAAAACTAGAGACACCACCATAGAGCGAATGCAGAAGGAAGTCCGAGTCCAAAGACAGCCAGGTAAATAGTATAGGGAGTAAGTTTGGCCAGGTGCGATGTAACCCTAGTTACTCAAGAGGCTGACACCTTGAGGATGGTGTGTTTGAAGCCAGCCCAGGCAGGAAAATCTATGAGACTCTTATCTTTAACCAACAAAAAGCTAGTTGGAAAGCATGAGGCAAGTGGTAGAGTGCCATCTGAAAGCAAGAAAGCACTGAATTCAAGCACATGCATACACATAGGCATGTACATGCAGTGTGCACGAATATTTAGAGTCCATGGAAATACTGTTTTTACGCCTCTGCTTACATAGTAGGGCTTTGCATAGGCTAAGTTGTCTTTCTCTGTCTCCCCATGGAGGTGTGCATCTGAGGGCTGTTGTCGGTAGCCATGTCTAAGAACCCTTGCTGTTTAACCTCTTGGCTTCAGTTACTTTTGGAAGGGTTGCCACCAGTAACTCCGTTTTTGTCGTTGGGGTTTGAGACGTTCTATGGCTCGTGCTCTCCTTGTTTTGGTGAGTCCTGGGCAGATGTTTGGGGGGAGCATCCCTCAGTTGTTTATCTGAATTTGGGGGAGGAAGACCCCAAAAATGAAGTTTGGTCTTTTTTCACAGTATGTCCTTTCATGAATCTTTTCACTGTGTTCCTGGTACTGTGTTGATTAATAAGCCTATGACAAATTCAACCTCCCTTAATGCTTCCCACAATGGTATTAAGTAAATTCCTGATCTTCTCATTAGAGGAACCCGGCCCAGAGAAGTGCATTATTTGCTTAAGGGTACACAGGAAGTGGCTCAAACATGTGTCTCCATGGTTCTAAAGACTGCCTTTGGGCCAGGTGCTATTTGAGGCAGTGCAAAAGCAATCTTACACAGCTTCAAAAACATTTATGCATAGTCTTTATGGACAAAGTCTTGCTGGCAACTTCTAACACGCACACACACGCATGCACGCACGCACGCACACACGCACACACCACCCAAACCTGGCCGGGTCATGAGGAGTGGACTCATAGCCAGTTGCTCAGGTAAATGTTGGCCATGTTCAGGACAAGGAACTGTACCCACATGGCCTGGCTTTGGTCTCCAGGAGGATTGTGGGAAATAGAAGCTTCTAGGCTTCCCGTTCAGGTGCTCAGTTGTGCTCAGAAGAGCTGAGGTCTGGATATCGGGCTTGGTCTGCAGTCAGGCCACATGGCAGCACATGGTGGCCAGTCAGAAGCCCGGTGCACCGGCCAGGGGCACGGGCACGGATTCTGTGCCAGCCCACCGGAGCCCCAGAAGGAAGTGGAGTGTGGGGTTTGAGATCTTGACACTCAGCTCTGGGTGCCCAGTGGAGGATGGCATGGACAGCGGAGGGGACCCGATTGATGCTTTGTGGGCCAGAGATGATAATGGTGGCCTGTGCTGAATTCTGGGGACACTCCCCAGTCCTTTTCCTCCGGGGGTCCCCCGTCTGTCCACACTCCACACCTGTGAGCAGCGAGTCCCTCCAGCACCCCTCTCCGCTGGTCTCTGGGACGCTCCTGGGACCCGGGTTCTGAGCCTTGGTGCCCGGCCAGCCTGCACATCTGACCTGTGTGTATGTGTCCTTTCTTTCTGCAGCCAACTGGGTACATGGAAAACTCAGTCTCCTACAGCGCCATTGAAGATGTCCAGCTGCTGTCATGGGAGAACGCTCCAAAGTACTGTTTACAGCTCACCATCCCTGGGGGGACCGTCCTGCTGCAGGTAGGAGGAGCCAGCATGAAGCACTTTCCGCCCCTCCTCCCTCCCCGCTCCTGCCTCCAGTTTCTGCTCTGCCTGGCCCTGGACAGCGGTGGGCCACTGCCGCTGCCCTGCCCTCTCCTGTCTCAGAAAAAGCTGTAAGGGTGCCTAACACCAACTGTAAGAAAGGCACAAATGGAGCAGCCTGAGAGGAGGAAAGAATTGCAAGGATTGAGCTCCTTCTGTATGCCTTCAGTGCCTTAGTATTTGATCTTAAACCCAAGAAGTGAGTTGTGAGGGTTCCATTTTAGTGAGGAAACTGAGGCATGCAGGCCCAGTTGCTAGGCCATGAGAAGCACATGAACCACACGTGCTGCTTTCTCATCTGTACAAGGAGGAGGTTTCTTATTCTTGGTTGATTCTGGAACCCAATGGCCATACCTCCTGCTCGGAGGAAGAATGTATGCATTTGCGTATTAGTCCAGGATTTGAAGTTAACAATGTAAACTGGTGAAGCAAAAAGGAAGCTGTAATGCTGTATCTGTTGAAACACGTGGGAAGTACAGGAGAGGATTTCAGGCATCGCTGGATCCAGGAGTCAGATGATGGCATTAATATTCAGCATCCCTCCCTTTCTTTCTTCCTCTCCCTCTTTCCACTTCCTGGCTCTGCTTCTGTGTGTTGCTTCATCGGGAGGCTGACTCTCTCAACATGTGGTGGGAAGAGCAGGTTCTCGGCCACCCGAAGCCACATTCCTACGATCTTTAGAAAAACAAGCCCATTTCCTTCCCAGTACCTTGCCTACGGTCTCCTGGAAGACCTTGGTTGGCTCTGCTGAAGTCCCGTCCCTCAGAAATGCTCTCCTGGTTGCACGATCCACCGGGCCCTCCCCGGACCGCAGGAGGTGGAGGTGGGGGTGCGCTCAGAAGGGAGAAGTGAAAGGCAGAATGAAGCGGTCACAGCCACATGCCGGCCCCTGTCCCGCAGGCATCCGTTCCAGAGGAACCGAGTCAGAACTTGGCCAGAGAAGTTTCCTCTTCGGCTGGGAAGGGCAGAGCCTTGGCCTCCTTAGGAACATTTCCTTTCTGTCTGTCTGGGGAAATCCTCCTCTTGCCAGATAGATGCTCCCTGAAGCCTTCAGGTGGCCACCAGGGTAGGGGTATGCGACTCAAAGAGTAGAGGGCTTGCCTAGAAAGTGTGAGGTTCTTGAGTTCAAACCCCATCTAGCACTACCAACACACACACACACACACACACACACACACACACACACACACACACACACACACACACACACACACACACAGCCACTAGCTTGGGACAAGTGCCAGGATCTGAAAGGTGCTGGCCCATTCATTATGGCCAACGCATCCTCTGCTGGAGGACACGGAAGACCCTGCCCACCCCGGTCTGTCTTCCTCTAGTCCTGCTCTGCCTGCTGAGGACACGCCCCTCCCCGAGTCCTGTCCCCTCCATCCTGCCTCATGGGCCATTTCCCCCTCCTGCCACTTCCTCCTCCTCCCTCCTTGCCTTCCTGTCCGATGCTGTCAGATGCCGCACAGAGCACCATCCACACCAGGGTGGAGATGCCAACCCCCTTGGGTGGAAGACCATCTGGGCCGCAGTAGCCAAGAGAGGCCGGCAGGCCTGGGAACAGCCCGCCCCTCCGTGGGCTGTCTTTCCTGTGCTGGAGAGGCCGCATGCTTGCAAAGCGCCCAGAGCCTCTAGGGAGGCCGAGCCATAAACAAATGATTGCAGAAGCCGGTGGCTGAAATAGAGGCATGTCCCAGCGGACCAGGGCCCAAGAGGAGAGGAATGACTCAGTCGGCCTTAGGGTGCCAGAGCAGGCTCCCTAGGGATCCAGCATTCGATCTGGGCACACAGGGTTGAGTAGGAGTGTGCCAGGGTGGTGGTTGGGGGTGTGCAGTCTGGGTAGGGAGCGTGTGAGTGGGGCGTGGAGCTGGCTGTGGCTGTGGCTGGATGGAGGGCTGCATTTGGGGCCTGTGGCTGTGTCCAGAGCACGCAGGACCCGTCCGCCAAAGGAGGAAGTAGCAGCCTGATGAGGCCCAGAGGCAGCCATTGAAAGCTCTTAAAGGATGGAAGGCACCCTAGGTTACAGGTGCAGAGCCGACATGGAAGGGACAGAGGGACACAGGAGGGAGACTAGAAATGGCTGGGCAGGGCAGGGAGGCCCTGACCCCATTCTTCCAGGCTGGAGCTGGCTGCTCTGGCATGGGAGGCCCTCTTGGTCTTGGGGCTGGTTGAGGAGGGCCAGAATGCCAGTCACCCTGGGCAGAGGGGCTGTGGGGATGCAGGATGCTGGTCAGGGCCTGGAATGTTCCTTTAACCCGGCCGTGGCCAGGAGCCCAATGGTAATGACTCGCCTGGACGGCTGCAGTAGGCAGGGCTGTGCGTCAGAGCTCCCGCTATGGGGCCAGAGCTGCGGGCGGGCGGGCGGGCCTCTGGCTCCCCCAGCATCCCCCTCGCCTGCCACCCCTACTTGGATGCATAGTCAGAGGTAGAAGCGGCAGAGGAGGAGGAGAGGCAGGAGAGAAGAGGGAGGCCGGCAGCTCGAGATCCAGAGCAGATTTAGCTTGGCAGAGAGCGCAGCAGGCTTCCATGGTCCCCGGGGAGCCCAGGTGGGTGCCGCTCTGCCCCTTGCAGGACACCCCCAGCTTGCAGGGCACCCCCAGCGTGGGGCAGTGGCCGCAGGCCAGCTCCTGCCTCTACGCTGGTCCCACCTCCTGCCCTCCCCTCCTCGGTGTGTGCAGCTGGCTGGAGATGGGCCGCCCTGTAGTTCCGAGAGGCCCGGTGACACTTGGCTCTTGGGTGCCGGGCACCTTGATCCTGCTCACATTGTGCTTGTAATAGTGGCAAGGCCTGGATTTAGTGATGACACAAGGTCACCGAGAGCCACCCCTGTGGCCCTGGACAGACCTTCCCTGCTGACCAGAAGGAGGGGCGGAGGGGCCTGTGCACCGTGGTGTGTGCGCTGCTTAGTCTGCCCCAGGGGGTTGCATGCGCTCTTCCTCCATGCCGCTGGGTGCCTGGCGCCCCATACAGCTAGTTGCCACTGTGGTGGCCTGTGCAGGCAGCTCTGGGGGACACTGGGGAACTTTGTGCCTGGGGCGTGGCATACTCTTTTCTGTGCACTCCTCCTAGGAGCGTGCCTCGTGTGGGCTCTGTATGCTTCCTGTCTTGCTCTGCCCTAGCACGGGGCTTAGCCTCTCCACCTGGGGAGAGAGGGGGTGTCAGGACCCTCTGGGGGTCCCTGTGTCTCCTGCCTACCCCCACTGCTTGCTGGTTTGGGTGTGTCTCTTTCAGGATGCAGCTGTGCCTGTCTGATTTCCTCCATCTCTGATCTTTTCTCTCCGGCTCCCTTCCCTCCTCCCCTCTCTTCCCCATCTTTTCTTCCTCTCTCCTTCCCCCCCCCCCCCCCCCACCGCACATTCTATTTCTCCTATCTGGTTCTGTCATTCTCTGTCTGCGTCCTCTCTCCTCCTCCTCCTTCCCTTCCCTTCCTCCCTCTTCCTTCCCTTGTCTATCTTCAAGGGGGTTCCTCACAGGGCCCCTGCTTCACTAGCATTTGAATCTGTGCCACAGGCAGGCAGACCTCACGAGGCTGCCCTGGTTTCTGGGAAGACTTAAGTGGGCATTTGTGCCATACCCTTCTCCCCAGCCCAGAGACCAAGTAATATGCCTGCAGGCGCCCGCCATCCCGCGCGGCCACCGCCACGCTTCTAGATGCTTTGTGGATTCAGCATGAGCTCCCCTGATGCCTTGCTGTTAGCATCTCTGGCTACAGAAAGGACCAATTTATCTTCCTCCTCCCTCAGTGTCCTTTCAGAGGCGTTGGATTGAGGAGGCCAGCCACACGAGCATATAAAGGGTGCGATGCAGGTGTCCTGGGGCGCCTCACTGGGCCTGGGTGGGGCACCGGACATCAAGGATCCGGCGGTGCAGACCACCTTTGGCCGGCTTTGCCCCCCGTCGGGCTCCCAGCCATCAGTGCAGAGCGGGGATGGTGTCTGCAGCTTTCTGGACATTTTGCATCTAAACCTGGCTTTTCTCATCAGTGATTCTGAAAGCCCTGCTGGAGGCCAGGCAGCTGTTTACACCAAGGCTAGCAGCTGGCCGGGACAGGGTGGGTTCCCTTCTTACTGGAAGCCAGAAAGACCTTTCCGGGCTGCGCACACTGCTGTTTTCCCCAAAAAGTCGGGCCAGGAGCCTGGACTTGGGAACGTTACCCACAGTACACTCCCTGGTTTTTCTCACCTCTGAGACAATGTAACAATGAGACAGAACTTGGCAGCTTTCACAGAGGAAATTGGGCAGAATTTGCCTGGAAGCAGCCCTTGAGAGATTGATCACGGGCGGGCACGGTGGGAGGCTGCTTGGGCAGGCCCCGTGGCCGAAGGGGGCAGGGGCAGGGGCAGGCTGGGCTCCTTCCTGTGTGTGCTCTGAGTGAAGCTGGCACCCCCTTGGCCCGGTGGTCCTGCTTCTCCCTGCTGCCAGCCATGTGGCAGGGGTGCTTTGCAGAGGTGACCGACCGGTCCCTGCCAAGGCCCAGCGGACCTGCTTCCCCGGGCAGGGGCTCAGAGGACGCCAGCAGTTTCTGGCAGAGTGGTCCCTCCCACCCTGGACCCAGCCTGCGCCTCCGCAGGGAAGGTGGCCAGTCTATCTGCAGGGTGTGGCCTCTGGCCCAAGTCCCGCCTCCAGTGGGTGCTGGCGCATGGTGCACCCGCTGCTCAGGGGAGGGGGAGGTATCTGTGGGGCAGCCCAGAACTGCTGGGTGACCCAAGGCAGTGGAGAGGGGCCTCCCTGGGCCCCTTACCTGTGAGCTGGACCCACAGCACGTCTCCTTGGCTTCCACAGGCTCAGTGATGGCCTCTGGACAGCCAGCACTGTATTGGGTCAGCACCAGTGTGGCTGTTTCTAGAGCCACTGTCAATACCTGCAGGCGAGGGAAGGCTACCAGACCAAAGGGCCCTTTTCAAGTTGTATTCTTTTTTGTAAAATGTTGTTGAATGGCTGAATGAGTATAACGATGGACCACTTATCCACCCACCCACCCACCCCTACAGCCACCCGCCTATTCATGCATTTTCACCCATTTACCCACTGTGCGTCCATGTGTCTATACATCCGTCTGCCCACTCACATACCCATCCATTGGATCATCCATCTGCCTGTGCGTGCATACATCCAGCCACCTCCCACGCATCTGTCCATACACACCCACCCACCCATCCGTCTACCCACCCATGCAGGCATGCAACATCCATCCATGTACCTGCTCATCCATGCGCCTGTTCATGCTTCCTGGCCCAGTGCATGTGCATGCTTCCAACCATTCATTTATTCAGTTCATCAGCCTTCAGCAAGCATTCCTCTGGGTTTCAAGGGCACTGTGGTACATGTATCAAACATATTTTCTGACCTTGTGGAGCCGCAGCCAATAGAGAAGAGCCAGGCAGGCAGCTGCAGGACAGTGTGAGTCGAGGAGGGAGTCTGGAGAAGTCACTCTGGAGAAGTGGCATTTCAGGTGGGACCTGAGGGGCGCATGGGAGTTAAATCAGGCCCCGTGGGGAAGGCGCGAAGGTAGAGCATTCCTGGCTCGGGCTGTGTGAAAGGCAGCGCAGACAGAGCAGGCTGGGATTGCTGTGGTAACAAGTAGCCCCAATCCCGCCTGGCTGGAAGCTGCAGAGGGCTCTTCCTCAGCTGCGTTCTGTCTGCTGTGGGTCTGCTCTAGCGCTGCTGGTGCTCACGTTGCCCGGAGCATTTCTGCCACTGGGGCAGGGGCAGGGGGAGGGAGGCTGTGTCTTTTTGTGTTTTTCTTTACAGCTCCACTCCCTCATGTTGCAGTTTGGTATACAGCTGGTTAATAGATCGCACTCGAGACATATTAGGGTCTGATGGCAGAGCCCAGGGCAGGCAGGGGAGGGCATGCGTTTGGGCTTGGGATGAGCCAGGCTGGTGACCAGACTCCTCCTGTTCTTGTTACAGGCCGCCAACAGCTACCTGCGAGACCAGTGGTTCCATTCTCTGCAGTGGAAGGTAAGTCGGGGCCTAGCGGATGGTGGCTTCGAGCCAGCTTGTTACTCAGAGGCTCTGCCTTCCTGACAGTCCAGGTGGGGGCTTTGCTCTGTGGCACCATCCTTGAAGGCCAAGGAGCTGGACTTTGGCGCTTGAGGAATTGCGTGGAAAGTGACTTTCACAGGGCTAAGCTTGTGTGAGGCTAAGTACGAGCCGTGCTCCTGTGCCCACTTTCCTTCTATGCCTGGCTCTCTGGTCTCACTCTGTGGGGCATGCCCGCAGTCCTCCAGGCCTGTGCTGGTCCCTTCCAAGGCCAGCTCCCCTGAGGACAATGCTTCTCTCCTCCTCCCCCCCTAACTCTGTCCTTCCCAGTAGCCTTGGCAGTGGAGCTGGTGGTGGGGCGGAGCAGCACCCACAGGAAGCTGTTCCTCGCCCTGCCTCTTTGCCTTCTGATCTTGTCTGTAGAACCAGCTGAGATAGGTTGGCTGGAGCGACAGGTGGTGTCACCAATTGTCCTCGTTGTAGGGAGCTGGCCAGCCTTGGAGCTGGGGTCCCCTGCTCCCTCGGGGGCTCCCCACAGATGGAGGGGAGAGAGACCCAGATCATCACACTCTTGTCTTAGGCACTTTTCTCCTCCTTGTCAGCCCGGGTCCTTTTGTTTTATGCCTGTGGTGCCAGGCCCTAGAAGCTTTATACAAGGTACCAAATGGAACCTGCATTTATTGAGCTCCTGCTGTGTGTGGAGCTGGCCAAGGCTCAGTGAAGCAGCTACAGATTGGTGAAGTCTGTCACTGCCACCGCTCCTGCAGTGTGGATGGGGGGGTCGAGGCCCAGTCTGCAGGCCAAGATGGAGCCAATGCTTGTGAATCTGAAATATCCTGGGGTCAGGGGGCCCAGGTGGCAGCTGAAAGAGTGAGGTGGCAGCCACTGAAAAGCCACCAAGAATTCGGCTTTCTGTGTGGAGAATGTGCCTGGCGCTGGCTCTCTGTGATCAGGGGCCGGTGTGTCCCTGGCCTCCTAGAAATGCAGTGGAAGAGGGAGGCTCTCTGGGGGGTGGCAGTCACACACCGATCGTCAGGACGGCATGTGGCCATTTCCACCATCGGGGACCGCGGCTGCCTCGTCTGCACTGCCTGTGTCCTCCATGCTCACCATGGAGGACCCACAGGCCACCTCCAGTGGCAGCCTGCCTTGTTCCTTGGCTCAGGATGGGGAGGAAAGTACTTGGACACCCGTAGCCCCCCCTGAGGTGGGGAAAAGCACCATGGCCATCCAAGAGGTGCCCGATGCACGTGGACTGGGCTGCCTGCAGGCGGTGGTTTTGCACTGGGTGCTGCCTCCTCTCCTCCCTGGTCAGCCTGTCCCTTGGCAGCCATTTGCAGGCATTCCATGATGCTGCTTGAGAGAGCTGTCGGTGGGACATGACGATGACCAAGGTGGCCCAGGAAATGGGCACAAGGAGCCCATCTGGAAGATGGGATAGGAGTTCACCTGGGAACCTCATGCCAAGGATGCAAACAAGGCCAGAACAGGGCCCCTGGGCTCCAGCAGTTCTCCAGCATACCTGGAAGTCTGGACTCAATTGTGGTTGCATTTGGGTCTTTTGCGGGGGAGGAGGGAGGAGTGGCCTGTCCTAGGGCTTGAACTCTGGGTCTGGGTGCTGTCCCTGAGCCTCTTCTGTTCAAGGCAGGAACTCTACCATGTGAGCACCGCTTCTGACTTTTTTGAGTAGTTTATTGGAGATAAGAGTCTACAGAGTCCTCACATTATGATCCTCCTCACATCTGAGCCTCCTGAGTAGCTAGGATTACAGGTGTAATCCTGGGAGCCACCTGTGCCCAGCTTGGGTCTTTTGTTTTTTTAAGCATCCAGAAAGTCAAGGCTTTCAGAGAGCTGGCACCTGCCTGGCACTGTGGCAGTGGTAACCTCTGTTCTCCCTACACAAGCGTGGGCGTGTCTCCACCGCGCCTGAGACACAGGGGCCGTTCCCCTTTCCCAGTTGCCCCAGTGATTTAGGTGTGTCGCCACCAGGTGGCAGTGGCATCTCAGTGGTAGCAGCTTAGCTGAATTCCTGTGGCTCTTGGTTACCTGGATTTGGTGAGGGGGGGGGGGGGGGGCAGAGAAGCATTTGGTGTTTTAGAGTTGTTTGGGCTAACAAAAATGAGCTGGGAGACCTGGATGTGAATGCTGGTTCTGAAGCTTATTGCCCTGGTACACCTGTTTCTCTTAACTGGGTGAGTGAGTGCCTACAGTGCCTGGTGGCTACTTTCTGGTCCATTGTCATGCAGCAAATGAAGGGATCAAGGCTCAGAGAGGTCAGTTGATTTTCTCAGTTACACAGCAACCGGCCTGTCCTGCCGTCTTGATCAGTGCCTTTCTCTGAGCTCAGAGCTCATCAGCCCTCTCAGAACATGACCTTCTACTGTAGCCTTTTCGCCCTCCATATTTTCCTTTTTTTTTTTAATCTTTTCTCTTTAATCACTAGCATATACAAATTGAGGGCAGTTAGAAATTGCCCCGTTTCAGCATGAGGTTTTAAAGTTTCTAGATGTTTTTGAACATTGATGCCATGGCTGCAGCACACGCATGTGCAGAACATGTTCATCTATTCAGAAAGCGTGTGCTCCTCAGAGCTAGGGCCCTGCTTCGCTGTTCTGGGCTTGCACTGGCATCTGGGGGCCCTCTTCCGGGACAGGGCTGACAAACCTTAGTTATTACAGCAATGGGAGTTTTCGAAACCCAGCCCTGTCCCAGTCCTGTCAGCTCTTTCTCTGCAGTGTTCCATTTCCAGAGCAGGCAGAGGACTGAAGAGCCTGCCGGGGACAGCAGTGAAGGGCTGCCCAGGGCTTGGGCTGTGGCGACCTCTGGGGATGAGGGGCAGCATGTGAACATGGTGTCCCTGAGCGCCACACACGTCTCTGTGGGCTTAGCTCAGGATCTCGTGCGCTCTGCTGTCGGGGCCTCCTGCCCTCAGTGCTGAGCACTGATTTGTGTGGGAAACTGTCTCCCCAGATAAGCTCTGTTCATTTGCAAGTGAGGAGGCCGGTGGGCAGAGTGGCCACTTTGAGGTTCTCCTCCTTTCCCCAGGCAACTCAGCTTTGTCCTGCCCTCCGCAAGTCCTGGAGGCCTGGGCCCACAGGAGTTGGGAGTCTTTCCATCCTGGAAAAGGGATGGGCTAGCCTGGGCTGGCCAGCGGAGCGGGCAATCTGGGCCCTCCCAGCCCCCTCCAGAGCAGAGCTCCTGTCCCACAGGCTCCCTGGGAGGGTGGCTCTGGGGGTTTGGGTGCTGGGCTCCCGAGGCCAGCCCCGGGGAGGGTGGAAATGTACAGTTGTACATGAGGCCTCCCTTTGATCTCCTGCCCAGGCCCTTGGAGGCCTGGTCCTGGGGAGACAAGTAGCTACGGTCGGGGGGGACAGCCACAGTTGTAAGCTCAGGACCAGCCTGTGTTCCAGGCTGCGAGGGCATTGCCCTCGCTTGGTGTGGGATTTGGAGGATGCCCTGTGGGCGCAGGCACGGGGCGCAGACCTGCCTGTGAGCATGCCGCCGGGGGAGCGCCACCCGCGCCTGGACCGGGCTCTGAGGGAGCCACCTGTGAGGAGACGCCAGGCGGCCACCGGGACCAGGGCCAGCGGCACCTGCGCTGCTCTGCCCAGCGGGGACCCGAGCTGCCTCCAGCCTCTTGCTCCCTGGCAGGCTTCCCCAGGCCGCCACACGGAAGTCTTGGAATCCAGGATGATTTTATCCCCAAGGAGCTGACTCACCAAGAACAGCCCCAGGCCGGGGTGGGGGGTGGGTAGGTGGGTGCTGTGCTAGAGCTGGGGGACAGACTGTGGGTGAGACCGGAGCCACCAGCCCGGGAGCACACTTGGCCGGAGGGAAGTCCCAGGGTCCTTCTGCATGGTCTGTGGCTGGGCCACCTGCTGCTCCCCAAGCAGGCATGGCCAGCCCCTTGGGCGGTCACTCAGCCAGACCTCTGTGCCCTAGAGGAGGTGGGAAAGAAAAAAGAAAGTAGGGGTGGAGAGCGCCTGAGGGAGAGCACCGTATGGAGCGTCTCTGGATTCATGGGCTTCCCTCGTGCCCGCAGCTTGTCACGTCTGCTCCCTCCAGCCTCGTGACAGTTCCTTGTGGCCTTTGTCACTCCCCGGTCTCACAGATGAGGGAACCGAGAGTCTGGTGAGGCCAGGCAGCTTCTTGAGCTGTCGAGCTTCAAATCTCTGAGCTGTTGCTACATGTCAGGGCCCAGCCACTGGCTTCTTTGGCCCTTGCCAAAGGACAGCTACTGTTTGGGTCCCCTGCCCAGGAACCAGGCATGGTTCCTGCGTTCTCTTCCGCCCGTCTGGCTGTGCCTCCCGCATGGGGAGAGGGGAAGGGCCGAAGGTACTGCCAGCATGCCTGCCCAGGGAGCAGCCACACAATGGCCGCAAGCCCTTCACTGGTCCCCTGCAAGGCTGAGCTGGTCCTGGGCCCCAGCGGGGCCACTCCAGGGATCTTGTTGCTCTCGCCAGACACCGCTTCACCAGGCTCCAAACCCCTCCCTGACTAGGAAGGACATGTGCTCCAGAAGGTCCTTCCACACACCTGCCTGGTGTGTCCAGAGTCCTGGCGTTTTTTCCTCAGGAGGCCTTTCCAAATCTTTCAGGCATTGGGATTATGCAAAGTAACCCTTGCCTTGCCAGCCCCTTCCTCATTGTGAAGCATCACACCTTCCCTCCCCACAACAACAGCCCAACCACTTTCAGTCCCACCCGCTTCCACCCCAGCCCAGACGCACTGCATTGCTGGCTCTCTGGGCTTCCTCAGGCTGTCCAGGCTGTCCCATCGGATTTGATGGAGCTCCTGGACAGACTGTTTTGGTCCCCGTGGTAGGGTAACGGGGCCTCCAGTGAGAAGGAAGGGCAGCAGGAGAGCAGGACTTGGTCTTAGACTTCCTAGGGGCCCAACCACAGGCCCACCTCACCCTGGTCCAGGGGGAGGAATTCTGTCAGATTAATTTCTGGCCCTCAGTCAAAGAGGGTTTTGTG